AAACCAACCCCAAGCCCCAAAACAACAGAAAAGAGACAATCTGAACTTCTTTGTTTTCAGTGAACTAGTTCAGTTCTTTAGGTTGCAGGACCCAAGAACAGCAGTCTGCAAAGGATACATATTTAAGGAACAAAATGGAACTCCCACTACCAAGGAACGCGCAGATGTTCGGTTACGCAAGCACCGCACATCGTCTCTGTAAGGCTGTTAGAGGCCCTCGGATCTCTGCTTCACAATGGCCTTGAATGCTCACTGTTCTCAAAAATACAAAAATGCCTGGACCCTACAAACAACCTTACAAAAAGGAGGTACAGTCATACTCTTAGAAAATAACACAACATTTTGAAGACTGAAAGCATYCTTAAAAACTCACACAAAATAACTACAAAATAAGCAAAACTTTACATTATTTTTGTATCAGATGACTTGCGTGTGCTTGAGCCATTGAAAATTGGTATGTATATCTACACGAAACTCACACATACAGAACATTGTGTTCAGGCATTATTGTTGGGTTTTTTTTTGGATACACACACAAGTTACTGTCAGGTTATTCAGTCTATTCAAATGCAGTGAAAAACAGTCCACAGCAGGCGTAAAAGGAGCAGTATCCAATACAGTGTTGTCTTGCAAAAAYGGAGTCAGAATTCCTGAGTTCCAGAGACATTGCTGTCCTCTCCATTACTGGATTATTTCTTTTTCCAAGGAGAACCTCTAGTTATCATTTCTTCACTCTGATGAAATTTGTAATAGATTGTGTCTTTTAAAAAAATGTAAAACTAGTACAAAAGATGTGCCAACCAAAGTGWATTTTTAAAGCTTTTTAAAGGGAGAGGGGGTTCACTTACAAAATAAAGGCCACCTTCTTGTAAAATTAGTACTGCCAATATCCCATCATTCTGTTTAGAGGAGAAATTTAGCTCCCTGTTCTAGAAGCCTTACCTTATGCAGTCATGTGAGCTGAAAAACTTCATCCTTTTAACAGTTAAAAATATCATATATAGGACTAACATGGAACAGCCCTTTGATACAATCACCAAGGTGGCAAAACCAATTGTCATTCAAACAGTCGTTGCAATCTAACTTCTGCATTTTCCCTTGTACTTTGCATATTACACAGTGTAACTTAAAATGTAATTTAAGAGCACTTCAGTCCCACAATGTAGGATTTAAGCTTGTGTGAATACATTTGCATGGCTCTGCAACATTTGTAATGACTTAGAAAAATACATTCAACCAAAACTTTATATAGGGTTCTATTCTTTTTTTTTTCAAAAATGAAGAAAAGCCAAATGGTCCCATCATTAGCTAAATAATACACTGCATTCTGAAAGCAATTCCAAAGCAAAAGCACATTCAAGAATAACATACATAGAATTGCATACTTTCTCATTCACCTTTATCAGTAATAAAATTCTACTGCATATAACTCTTCAGCCTTATAAATAATGCTAAGCAGAAAAATATTTACCTCTGTGCTACTTTTTTGTTTATAGATGCATTTCTCAGTTTATAGGAGCAAAGGAAAAAAAACTAAAGTGCAGACTACAGGCCATGACAGGCATAATAAATGACCAAAGGTGCAGCCAAATTTGCATTTACATCTTAAGTTACTTTGCCATCTTSCTTGTCTTGCTAGAAGTCACCCCATGTGCAATTAAAGAGCTGGTCAGTTGGTTTGTGCCACAGTACAACCTGTAATCACTTGCAATTTTTTTTTAAATCTATTTCAATTGTCCATAGATATTTCTAGGCAATAGCTCAGGTTCACAAAACCTTCCYTAGTTATTAATACTTGTAATCACACAATATTGACACCTCCTCCAGAGAATGCTACTGTCCTCTTGTTGCAGTATGTGGTTGAGCCACTGATGCATGGCTGACTGTCTTTAACAAGCGATGTCTTCATTTCCATTTCACACGCTACAATAGCTGCATTGAGTTCCACTTGAGCCCGGTGAACGACATAAAACGTGAGTCCTATGCTTATGACAATCTGCAAATAAAACAAGAGTGTTGTAGGCTGCACAGGCTGTGGGAATGAATACAAAGCAACTGATCTGAACGAACAAAAAGCTGTCAGTGCAAAGATTCATGAAGGCAYCTGTTGACTCAAAGCTTCACATGCAAGACACTGAAAGGGAGATGAACTCAGTGCCTGAGTAGCTCTAAACCTACATATGATAACAATGTAACCAGCATATCAGAACACAGACATTACATAGAACTTAAAATATTTGTATAAATTGAAAAGTTTCTTTCTTTCTGTTGAAATCCACACACTTTTTATAAAAGCAATCCTTTCACTTTCTCTCTTCAATAACACCAGTCAAGTTTTTAGCTGGCATCTTCTTTAAAAAAAAAAAAGATAACAAGATCAAATTTTCAAATAAAAATCAAGGTGTCTCATAGTGAGAGTCCCTTTGAAAGAAGTAAGTTCCACTGCCTCTTTTTAAGAATAATAATTTGTTGGAATCTGCAACTTCCTTTCAAAAAAATTAAGAAGTTATATTACTTATAATGGAACTCAAAACTCTGAGTCTAAGACCTGAACTTCATTACTAACTGGTAGAGATATATTTTCTTTAACATTGAGGACTACTGCTTAGAACGCCTGTCAACATGGCATAAAAGATGATGGAACATCATTGAGTATTGACAAGTATGAGCACAGGAATTGCAGCTGGAGAGCAGCCTGGCAGTCTCTAGCCCAACCTGCTGCTCAGAGCAGGGCTGGCTGTAAGATCAGAACAGGTTGTTCAGAACTTTTGTCCAGTCAGGACTTGAAAACTGTAAAAGGACTGAAATTTCACCACTTCTCTGGGCACTCTGCTCCAATGTTTGACTACCCTTGTGGTGAAAAAGGTATTCCTCACTAATTCAAGTTACACATTTCAAAAGCTGGCCAATGTAAGAGTCTCAATGATACCACAGACACTAAGTTTTGAATAGACAGGAAAAATCCTATTCTAAAAGCTTGTATTATTACCAGTAATCAAGCTCTCTAGACAAGTAACTGAATATATACATATATACATAGACAAAAATGAAATGYGAAGGATTTTCAGAGCTATTTACTAAATGAAAGTCCTGTCAAAGCTCAGCCAGGCAAAGTGCTCAGCAGACATCTGAGAGACAGTGGGAGAATGCAAATAATTTCTCCACTAAAGGCCTTCCCTTCAGTTATTCAGTCACGTCCCAAGGACTGGTCTCAAGGGGCTTAGTACTCCTTTTAAARCATTCAGGCTATGCAGCTATCACTTACCTGAGCAACAGTTAATCTGCAAAGGACAGTCAATGTCAATTAAAAAAATATATATATATAAATGAGGAATAAAAAAGGAAAAGACTATTAAAAACTACTACCCTGGAAATAATATTTCACGACTAAAATAATCCCTCATCAAGAAACCATTTATTTTCCCTTTGACCTATCAAGACTATCTGCCCCACACTTACAAAGGCATTTCTAATACTCATAACCCTGTTCCATGAAAGCTATAAATTAGATTTTCTATTTAAGAGTACACAAACTTTGGGGCAAGAGGGGAAGGTATATTTAAAATGGTCCTGGACTTAAGTTTTCTATGTTAGCATTGTTAAAACAGCGTTATGACAGCAAAAACTGAGGAACAGAAGTTACTGCAGCAGTACCTCCTAAAAGTCTGCAAACCATGGTAACAGCGAGTCAAACAGCTTGAAGTACTGTCACTGTCAGAGGAGGTTTTAACCTATAATATAATTCTGAAATACCCATAACCTTTGTGCTCATAATGGTCTCACGTTTCAGGTTTACACCCAAAATTTACCAACAAATTATTTCAAGAGTTAAGGTCATGTAAGGTACTTAATATACTTCTCATTAAATTACCCACTTGTAAAATTAGAATATTCTGATTTAGGCATTAGGAAAATGGTATTTCTACAGCATTTTTAATCCTGAATACCTATGCAAGATGGGGATGTTGAGTGCTAACAATGAACACYGCACAGGTACTGGGTCTACACACACATAAACTTTTGTGCAGGGGTGGTTTGACAAGTCTAAAATTCAGCACATTACCCTAGAAGGCAAGAGAAGAAAACTTAACAAAAACTGTGTCAGAAAAAAGAGAACACTAAGTTCTACTTTGTGTTATGGTAAGGTGTGAGAGAATTACATTTTTCTAACAGCATAAAACAAAATCTAAAGAAAACACTACATTGGGAACCCATTTTTCTGGGTATCTAGCAATCAAGAGAAATCACAGAGACAGACAGTACCATTACCAAGGTCTGTGAAATCATTTATTTTAACTGACCTGTAAACCGAATACAAAATAGCCACTAACACTTTGTTCTGCAATCACATCCTCCATGGTGCGTAAGGTAGTGCCCAAGTAGGAGTTCAGCATCTGAGTAGGAAGCAGCCCAAGTGAAGAAGCCATCAGGTAGTTGGGTAGTGACAAATCTGTAATCTGAGTAAAAAGTCAGAGTAAGAAATCAAACACAGCTCCAACACAATCCATGTGTACAACCCACCAGACTACCACTTCCAACAACCATCCCTGAAAAATCATGAAAGAATATCCTRCATTCCTTTGCTGAAACTTTGATTCATGCACAGTGGGAAAATAATACAACAAACCAGCATGTGTCTAGTTTTCGTCTGGCCTTTTTGAAGTTACTAGGTTTTATTTCACATTATGCAACACCTCTCTGCAAAAGTTATTAACTAGGGATGCAATTACATTCTTCACTGAAGATATTTATTTTTACCTGGTGAACACAGCCCTTGGATTTATGAAAATGTACTTGTAAGAAGAAATTACTTTATCAAATGTGAAGGTGTAATACAAAAATCAGTTTTGCATTTTACATATATGGCAAATAATACAAGAGKTAATTGTTCAAAATGTCACTGTATTAAACATGATCCAGGTAAACAGAACGGCAGATATAATTTTTCTGTGCCAGGCAAGTTAAGTAGCTTATTAGAATACACATCTATCAGTGATTCCTATGTGCAATACCCATCTATATCTATACTGATATAATATGGGTATCAAAGATATTTTGCATCATACTTCAATTAGTGAATAAAATAGYACATGTGGCTATACATTTTATTCATTTCTCTGGAACAAATACTAATAATAGTTTGGTATTTTCCTCTCTTTGCTGTGAAATTTCTGCTCTGCAYCAATATGTAGACATATGAGTTTACATGGGAACAAAGTACACAGTTTCAGCTAAATTAGTATCAGCAGCCACTGGAAAATATTAAAGGCAAGCGTCATGAGGTCAAAAGATATTTACATAAGCAAAATGAAAACAARAGGAAGCTAGGTTAAAAATCAGTATGAAAAGGATTATTTTGAAAACAAGCAGTCTATCCAAATTTCCAGACAATTCAGTTGATAATAAGAGAGATCTAATTAAGAACAGCCCTAACACTGAGAGCCTATATGGAAATTATTGACCTTGCCAGTTTTGTACAATGTTGAAGACCAAAGAGTAGCAGCAATCTTACTCATTTCATCATGCTATTCTTAAAATAAACTTTAGTTACTGTGAAAGTCACAGTGCTGAATTCTCAGAGCTCTAAGCACCATCAGTGGAAAGTTTTTGGGAGGAAGGGCAATGGAGGAGCAGAATGCAATGAAGCATAAAGATTAAGAATAATTCACTGGAACAAGATCCAATAAGCCATTTCCAAACTTCACACTGCATATTATACTTCCCACAGACTGAAACATAGACCAGCACCACAAATATTGTATTTTCCTCTCTATACAAGATTAATKTAGATTCATAATGAAAAAGTATTATATAATTATGTCAGAACTTTACATTTGACCAGTACTTTCAAAAGACTTTTTTATTTTTAAACATCATTGTAATCTGGGCCATGAGTCCAACCTTGCCATATTGTCAAGGGAATGAAGGAGCTGCAATTAAAAGTTTCTGAAATACTAACGTAGGGGCAAGATTTCCTAAGTAGGACACTATCATTAAATCTAATGGAGCTGGGAAACTTCCCAAAGATTGCTTTAACACTCYTGATACCTCTCTCATTTCTGTAGATTTATTAAGGACAATTCAGTTGCAGAGCAACATGTCTGCACACCTGGATGTGTCCTGAAACACCTGGACCTCCTGAGCTGTGAAAGAGATTGTTTCCAACTGAAAGAAGACTGCCAGTGGATACATTGAATTGCAGCTTGTGCTTCCTACTGCAATGAAAGMAAGCTAAGGAGAGGGTGAAAAAACTTTTGAGATGCCCTTTTAAYTAAACCGTAGGTTTGGACCTACAATTATATCCCATTTCCCCAAAATGCCTAAGAAATGGACAGCATCGTTGCCTAAAAAACCTGAGAAAACGTCAATAAAACTTACAGCTCTCCATACTTTTGCTTCTAGGAACTTTATCTGTTCTRTGAACCTGCCAGACTGGCATCTGCATGTCCAGGGTGCCCAACAGAACCTACCAGGGCTCTGATTCTGGTGAAAGCTCAAGCCATCAAAAACTAACAGTGAAATCCCAAACCAAGCATGGATGCAACTGTGTTATGGGCCATAAGAGAAATCCATTTAAATTGTATTTGAATACAATTAAGAACTACCTAATTGCTCTGATAACAACAGCCAAAAGCTCCCCCRCTAAACCTTGGACAATCTTTGTTCCATGGAACTTTTGTGTATTCTTTGCAGCTGACACCTTTGGCTCAGCACTATCAAAGAATAAATGCTTCTGTGAGGACCGTACTTGGAGCTCCCATGCCTTTATGGATGGCAGCACAGTTTATTTTCCCACCRTTTATGAATCCCTGTTCAGATCAGGTAGGCTTAGTGACCAAAAGCAAAGGATATCTCTGATGCTCTTTTTTTTTTTTTCTCAAAAAAAAATCCCAAAACAAAACCCCCGAAAACCACCCCCTCCAAAGAAAAACACCACCACCCCCTCCAAGAAAAAAACAACCCAGTGAATAAAAAATCCAAACTAGCTGTCAACTTTCCAACAGTGGAATAAGCAGTGTRCATGCTCTTGCAAAGCAGGTACCATTTCTTCAACCCTGACTTCCCTGTATGCATTTCTAAACCCAGAGATGCACACTTGAACACTCAGATTTTTTTAGTCAGATTATTTCTTTCACGTAATTCCTCTCAGAGGAGGGAAAAGGTATGAAATTCCTTCTAACCTGCATCTGGCACTACAAATAACCAGTTTGCACGAATCTCATTCCAAGAACACACTTGTAGGAAGGAGATGATAACCTACATACCAGGCCTCCTTACAGACCTGCCTTCAAAACACTCAAGAGCTGCCAAGGTGAGAGAGGTGTGCGTGGGCAAACACGTCAGTAAGAGCCATCAACCCACCCCAGCAGCCCAGGCCACCCTGGCATCAGCAAAGACAGTGAAGCAAAACTCACTCAAAAGAGAAATACAAACATGGTTTCAGTTAGCAAGTTTCTAAGTCTTCCAGAAAGGGAAGCAAATGCATTACCTCGCCCCTCTACCATCAGCAGAACAACCTTTTAAGCAAGATCTTCATGTCTGGCTGGTGAGACGCTAAGGAAATTTGTGTTTTCTTCTCATGCTGTTTCAATTAATATGATTACCTCTAATCAAATCCTAAGAAGCTCTCCCATCTTTCTCTACACCCCCTAMAAGTCAACTCCTGAAAACCCTCAGCAGATGGTACATGCCACCGAACAAATGCTTGTAGAAATCATTTAATCCYAGGCCTGCATATGACCCTGCTCATATCAAGGTTATGCCTTTTCCTGAACCTTATGTGTTGCTTCCTTCCTTCTCTCTCATTTRAGTAGTCTCAGTATCTCTAGTTTACTTATAAATATCCACATAGAAAACATGCATAGACCAGACCACTGGAAAATTAAAGCTGTGTACTCTTTCTTATATACACTGTTCTTTTAAAATTAATCCTTTTCGAATGCATTGCTTAAGTTGCTAGCATGGGAAAATGCATATYAAACTTAAAAAGTGTTAGATTTTCAAGTAAGTGAGATTCCAAGGGAATGACAGCTTGGTCTGTGTAGACAGAAAACTGTATTCTTTATGTAACTTRAATTTGACTCAAAGTGAGAAACTGTCTTGAATTCTAGATTTTCATGCAACACTTTTCAGTGATCTAGCAACTCAAATGTTCTCAGTGAAAAATTGAGCACACTGTGCTTTATTTGACGRTGCTACAAAGTAGTAAATCAGGAGTAACCAAACTAAAATTAGCAAAAARCATCCAAGTTACTTGGCATAAGTCAAGAATCTGGTTTCATCTCATTTCCTATCTATTATTTTAAMACTGAAACCATCCACTTGGAAAGAAATTTATTTTGCCTGCAGAACATGAAGAATACAAACCACAATGATTTACAGCATCATTTTAATATAGAACTGGCCCAAATACTCTGCTGGATCATGTTTCCAACAGAATGGTTATGCCAGGAAGGAAATAATTTTAACTTGGTAATTCTATGGTCTGTTCTTCAGCCCCAATACTACTCTGTATAAACTGCTGAGTACTTCAAGTGACACACTGAAGCTGTGAACAACCAGAGCACATCAGCTCTCCCCACTTTAGGAGGGTCACGGTACAGCAGAAGCTTCATCTGCTACAGCAGGACCTTGGGCTCCAGGAGGGACTCGGCTCCCAGCTGGACAGGTCTAGCCCTCTTCAGTCCAGCAGTAATATARGTTAACAAATAAAACAGCAGAGGTTCAGCTGTTCAGTCTCTCATYCTTAACAAGGAAATGGTTAAAGGATCTGCTTAAAAAGAAATTAGAAGTTGCTACAGGTCTTAGGGACAGAGATTACAGTTCTGGAGATGAATGTTCCACTATAAACAGTTTTATATGCAGCAATTTAAAACATTTGGTGTGGATGTTACACCCCAAAAAGAACATGGATTAAATTTTACTTAAAAAACAAATTTGGTATTCAGTGACCTACAAATTGCAGCCAGATGATTCTGTCAAAATTAAGCAAGCACTTCAGAAGGGTACAGGATCAGGACTGCAGTGTGCTAYAAGGAAGTGGCAGACCAAAACACCTGTTTTGACAGTCACTTCTGTTAAATAACATATAATTTACTGATAACATTTCAAGTATTTCACAATCCAGTTTGTTTTGTTTTGATTTCATTGAGTCACTAGATACAACTGAGGCATAACATAGCCAAAACCAGATCCTTCAGACGAAGCAACTGGGAAGCCAAGAGGGTCTGAAATTGCCATCAGCAGCATGACAATACTCAAAAAGAGCACCCTCCATATTCTCTATTTCTTCATCCTTTGAGACGATCAAAGAGACCAAATGAAGGTACCAATCTTTRCCTAAAAGTAGAAAGAAAAGCAAAACTAACCTTTTCCAGAGTCAAGTTAGTTTAAACTTTCAGTGCCACTCTAGTGCACAGTCCCTTMAAGTCTGAGGTTACACACTGCTCTGCCCAAAACCTGCAACCTCTCTCGTATGCAAGGACTTAACACCCTGGATGTATTTGCCAGATACATATCACAAACACCGAGAAAGAATTTTAATCTGTCCACTTCTTTTCTTCCAATATGATTACTTATACTAAGTAGTTTAGGACAATCTGGCAAGAGTTTTCCTCAGCTCCTGCCAGGTTTTTAAGTGGAGTACTTTGAAAACACAGACACTTCATAACTGTTGAGCTCTCCACAGATTTTGCTACGCAGCACCTTTGTGATTCTAACACCAGAACACAATCTTGAAAAACAAGTGAGCAACTCTAACACAATGCCAGTCATCAAGGCATCTCAAAAATCTGCCTGCTGTTCCTCTGCACGCACAGGACAGAAGGCAGAGAGGGTTGTTTTTACTGTTATTAAGATACAGAAACCATGGYTTGATCCCAGGGAAGGAGGCAACMTCCACCAATATCAGCAGCCACTATGCCGAAAGGCATCCTTCCAGCACTTCTCTTCCGCACAGCCCAGCCAGGGACTCACCGCGAAGACGGCGTTCTGCAGCCCGAAGGGGATCGGCGTCAGCCGCGCCAGAACCACCACCTTGAGGCCGCTGCCGCCCTCCACGACACGGACGATGGCACTGAGCGTCCCGCTGCCCTGGATCCTGGTCCGTGCCCAGCGGGCCAGCAGCCGCTTGCAGGCCACGTGGGCGACAAAGGTGCCGACGAGGACGCCGAACACCATCAGCCCTATGCCCAGCACGAAGCCGTAGAGGTAGCCGGCGGCCACGTTGAGCAGGATGTAGCCCCAGCCGCACGGGAAGGACACGACGATGAAGCCCACGGTGAAGAGCAGCACGCCGGCCAGGCTGTCCAGGCTCTCGGCCCAGAGCAGCAGGTCCCGCAGGTACTGGCGCACCAGGGCCAGCGAGGCGAAGCAGAGGGCGGCCAGCACGCACAGGCTGAGGCAGCTCTTGCACCAGCAGGTGCCCAGCAGGCAGCACGAGCAGCGCCAGCCCCGGGCCTCGGCCAGCCCGTGCCCGCCGCCGCCCGGCTCGGGCAGCTGGCAGAGCAGCAGCTCCGCGGGCGGCAGCCCGTCCTGCTCCGCGCAGGGCCCCAGCAGCARCCCGCCGGCCCCCGCCGCCTCCGCCGGGACGAAGCCCACGGTGTCCCCGCTGCCGCCGCCTCCCGCCGCCGTCCCGGCGGCTCGGGACAGCCAGCGGCCCAGGTCCTGCCGGGCGCCCTGCGCCGCCGCTTGCTTCACGGCCCGGGAGAGGAGCTGCAGCGCCGCGGCCCCCGCGCCCCGCATCCCCCCGCCCCGCCGCCCGGCTCCAGCGCCGCCGAGCCGCGCAGCCCCTTCGCTCCTCGCCTCCCCACGCAGCCTGCGGGCAGGGGCGACCGTTCCCTCATCGCCCCGCCATGGCCAGGCTGCCGAGCCCGGCCGAGGGCCGGGCGGGGGCGGGGAAGCGGCAGCGGGGAGGGCGGGGAGGAGGGGGCCGCGCTTCGCCGCCGCCCGGCGGGCGGAGGGGCCGCGGCGGCCTCCGCACCGCCTTCCGCCTCGGCCGCGCCGCCGGGGCTGCGGCGTTAGACGGCGGTGGGGCCGCTCTCTCCGTTCCGGCAGTGGCAGCGGCTGCCCTGGCGGAGCGCGAGTCCCGGGGGTCGGCGGCAGCGGCGGCGGCGGCAGCACCGCAGCTCCATCGCCCCGCGCTCTGTGCTCCCGCTCCGCGCCGGGAAGCGCCTTCTCGGAGCGGCGGTGCCGATGTGGCAAGCCGGGAGGGAGGAGGCGCGGCGAGGCTCCGGCTGCAGCAGCGCCCGGCCCCGCTGCGGGGCTCGGCGGCGGCGCCGAGACTCCGCCTCCCGCCCCGCCCCGGGAGCGCCGCGCCGCGCCGACCGGGTGTGCCTCTGTGGGGCCCCGCCGCCCGCCTCGCCCGAGCTGAGCCTCCCCGAGCGTCCCTGTGCCGCATGCCCGATCGGCTCCGCCAGCCGTCCGCATTCCCGGCAGAGCCCTAACCCGCAGGGTTTCGAGGAGCCGTGCTAGAAAAGCGGATTATTTTCCGTCAGGGGAGTGGGGTTCAAGCATCACGGTGCTTTTACTCTTGCGCTCTCTTGACATGTCGGTGATTCTCCCTCTCTTACATGTGGGCTTTGTATCGMAAACACCSCGGCTTTCCCCTCACCTCGAGCGARACGAGTTTCTCCCGGCCAGCGCCGGGGTTTGAGCCGAGGGGCTGCAGCCCATGCCCGGGCTCCGCGGCACCTCCGCGTCAGGTCAGCTTGGCTCACATGCATGAAGGCTCGGACTCACTTTGGACCATTGCTAGGAAGAAGGAAACAGCCTGGATATGCAACCTGGGCTCCGTTTAGGGGGTGTTTCCGCGGGAGACTCGCCGAGGCTCGATAGCTTCGTAGGTCGCTTTTGCTTTGGCGTTACTAATGGCAAGGTGCAGAAAGGGGTTTGTTTTCCTTACARCGCTTAAACATACAGTGTGCTACAGTGGAGTTATATTCTCCTGCCGGGAAATTTGCAATAGTATATAAAACGAGAATATGTGTAGGTTGTAAAGGTTAAAGGGTGATTGGAAACAAAGAAGCAAATCTYAACATGAATATTTAAGTATTGCAATTGTATACTTGCAAAATGCACCGTTAGAAACAGTATAACCAGGGCAATCGACCAATCAGCCTAAGAAAATGACAGATGTCTTTGAGAACGAACAGCAGAATAAAAAAATCCTGGGTGTCTCTCTACAGCAGCAAAATTGCAGATAAATGCCTCCAACATAATCTGCTTTCTTGCTGTTACCTGTATCTGAATGGAGCATTTGATTTTGTATGTGCTCTTTGCTTACGATGCAAACATAGGCAGGGTGTATGTCCAGAATTCTAATAATAATAATGTCAAGAAAGCCCTTCATTAGAGCTTGTAAAGGATGATGGGCATGCTTGCACATTCAATAAGGCATTTCAACAAACCAGAGGCATCTGGGAGTTCAGTTGAAGAAGGCAAAATATTAATTGCTGGTTTGATACTAAGAGCACATATGTCTTTGATGTGAATTCAGCTTGTGTATATTTTTGTTCAGTGCAGTTACTTTCATAAAACAGGAAAAAGCCTCGGTGGAAATGTCTACCAGAGTTAATGCTTTACGCTGCTCCTCCATTGCTGCATTTAAAGTGCAGAACCTTGTACTCTGAGCTGAAATGAGTCTCTGGCTGGCACTCTAAAAGCTACAGGTTCTGTGTTTATATTCACAGAAAATTTACTTGAAAAGTGACAACTAAAGAGGATGAAGAACATAACAGTCTATCTAAGWAACAGTTTTGATACTATACTCTAACCTATTAAAAAATGAACTAGTTAGAGGAGATGTTTTTCCAGTCCCTAGAAATGAACAGACTGAAACTCCTTGACCTTATCCATCACCTGGGCTCCCTAAAATAGCTAATCCTGGCATTCTTTTGTCTTGAGGAGCAATAGCTCAGGAAGGAAAGACATCAAACAGATTTTGAGTGACACAGAGCATGGTCATGGAGCATCTTTGGATAAATATCCAAGGAAGGCCACAGGAATTTAGCAGGACTTGGGTGGAGCTGGTAACTGCTCCCACACGCACAGCAGATACAGCTACAGACATGAGAGGCAGTGTCAGCTGGCTCCTGTGAGCCTTCCTGGCATGCTCTTACCATCTGAAGGGAAAAAACCAGCGTCACATATCCTTGAAAATGTGCCAAATTGGCACATTGCTAGACAAGATGCCGGCCAAAATGGTTTGCCTTTCAGACTAACTAGTCAGTGAGTCACAGAATATTCCTGTACCATGGATGATGCAGTTGCAATGRTGATAAAAGCAAGGCAAGATCTGTAAGGAAAAGTGGTTATCTTTCCGTAGACCAATCACTACACTTAAAAAACTAAGGCAAGCTCTTGGGCACCTAGCTCTTGGACAAACACTTTGTGCTCCAAAAAAGATAACGCTTTATGTTTTAGGTTTTTTTGGTTTTTTTCCCAGGTAGATTAGTTGATTTAGTGAATAATTTGCGGCAAATGCTGTCTAACCTGTTCTTYTAAAAAGCAAAACTGGCCTTGTTACCTTTGGAAATTATTTGAAGTAATATCAACTGAACCTGCAAATTTATTCCTATGGGTTTAAAGTATGGCATTACATCAATTGATGCTGCTCCTACACTTCCTTAGACTGATCTAGTTACTTAGAYTTTCATTATCCCATCTATCATTTGAGCTGATTCTTACCTTTCTTTAAATTTAATTTTGGTATTTTTAAGCAAATACATGTAAAACCTGAGAGGCACGGGTAACAGTCTGCTTAAGAAGAGGTATAGAAAGATGCTTTCATAATGATGTAGACTGTAGTGGATATTGAAGATTTTTTGTCAGACAGGTGGTTTTTTTCCAGGCCTGTGATGTAGGCCAAGGATATTTCCTTGTCCTGGCACAAACAACTGAGAAATGCTATTTTGTGTTTTGAAACTATGGTTCTTCTGTCTCATTTTTTATTTGAAGGGCTATTAGCATGCAAACACACSCAACTAAGCATGTGAGTCATTTTACTGAAATTAAAGACATGACTCATTTAGGTCCATGCAAATGGTCTGCACTGAATAGGGACCCTGAAGATGGGGAGTAGGATACAAAGCTAAAATCAGGAGCTACAATAATCCTGAAGCTCCTGAAAACTTGCCATAGTTATTTCTGAATTTCTCTTTGGGAGGGAGAAGCGGGACTTTTTTTGAGAAAATTATATTAAAAACCATTACACCAATGTACTTCTAAATGTCTGTAATTTCTGCCAGCATTACTGCGAAGATTCTTTGCTGGGAACTGCAGTATTGACTGATTTATATCAGGAATAACCATTCTTGGGCCACAGCAGGCTCACTGGGAATGCCTTCATCTGGCCTGYGGTCTTCCTTGCCATACATTCCTTTACACCCACTTTACAATTCCTTTACAGACACTTGATGGAAGGTGAATGTAAACTGTGCTGTTGCAAGGAAYGCACTTTTTGCTGTTAACAGAGTACAAGTTGCAATGATGTGGAGGAAGGTATTAGCAAGGAGCAAATCAYGACCAGAGAAATTATTCTGGTAGACCAATTCAGGCCTGCAAGCCAGAGCTCGGGCCCCACTGRTTTGGATTGTTATATTTCAAATGCATGTGCATTCAGTTTTGTCAAAGTGAAGGACAAGTGTACTAAAGGAAAACAAGTTATCATGCAGCATTGTAAGACATTGCTTGAATTCCCAGTGAAAGGTGATAGTTCTGAAGTTACTTCACCAGAAACAGGAGGTATAAGAGGAGAAATGGCACTAGTAGCATTTTAGGATCATGCAGTTTTAATTTTTTGGAACAGTATCTATCAAGATGTAACAAATTTTGTGTTACTTTCACCAGGAGCTACCAAGAAAACATCTTTAAATTAAAGATACAAACATGAAAAAATAAATACCCATGCCTCTCATTTAATGTAGCCCTGAAAGTGTTTATAAGTCTTGAGGTGATAATCCAGATTGTATAATTTTGCAGCTTGATTTATTAGGTGTCTACAGAAACTTTATTGCTTGACATATAATCCCAGSCTCCCAGATAAATGTAATATAATCTTGTTAAAAACACTGAAGGATTTTATATACTATCATAAACTCATATAATTCAGAAAATTAATGTGTTTATTTTCATACATGMTTCTACTTAAGAAATATGGTTTATACAATGATTTTGCAAGAAACATTTCAAACCAATTTGATTACAGCTCTATGTAAGGCATGAATAAAAATTAAATACAGTAAGCAATGTGCTGAAATATTTACATTGAAGAGAAAATTCTGAGACATCACTCTGGTATTACTTAATATGTAAATAGTGACACATCTAAAACAAGTTCATTTCAGTAGAACTGAAAATTTTTGATATTCCTTAGCATGTCCTAGCCCAGAAAGAGTAAATAAGAAACCTTAATCATCCTTGTACATATGGCAAAAATACAGCTGTATATTTGGTATATCTATAGCTGCCTTCACCTGTTGCAGTAATGGAAAACTTAAGCTAATTAATCCTAAAGACTCACATGGAATTCTTCCTTGGAAAAGGATATCCTTTTAACTTATCCTTTAACTTCTGCCAATTTTTCATTCCATGAAATGACTGCTTTGTTGACAAAAAAAAAAAAAAGAATTAGTCAGGGGCTATTGGTGTCATGCACAATAGCCTAAAGTTTGGTAGTTTCAAAATTTCTCATGCGGACTAGACTAACAATGGCAACCCTAGGAAATGGCAAGATATGGAAAAAACCAAAACCCTAGTATTAAATTAATTGCATCCTCCTGGATTGGACAGTGCAATTAGATGCAMCTCAAAATGTTAGCTGAGTAATTACTTACTTCTACCAGGACCACAAATYAGGAATCTGCATTTTCATGCAACAGAATACTTGAGGCAGTTTTTTGGGAGCACTAAGATCTAAAAGGTGTGTTTTCAAAATGAATTTTGGGTATCATGAAATAAGGTACAGTGAGAAAAGCATATCTGAGGAACAGGAAACTCTCTTGGTGAAGTCATTTATTGAGGCTGTTTACACCCAGATTCTCATCCACTTTGAAGTGACTAAAAGAACTGTATCTAAATATATTCCATGCTCAGGGCCCTTCTGATGGGAGGGGTGTAAGTAAATGGAAATGCTAGCATGTCCTTGATGTCATGCTTTCATCAGTTCCACAYATCTGTGTCTTTTTAGCAATATAGTTTGATATTCTTCAGCAAATTACCACATTCCATTTGATACATCTGCAGTCCCATAGGT